CAATGTAGAACCTCTTATAGTTTTGATTTTTCATGCTTCTGAATCTTTTTTCGTGCTGTTTTCCATGCCTACAATATCATCACAACTTTCCCCCTAGTAAACTCTTATCCCTTAAACTTTCTTGTATTTCCATTCTGTGAAGCCTTCCCAGAGGCACAGAGTTATCTAGTCCTACTTGTACCTCTGAAATTGCATTTAAAAGTTTCCTTTTGTATTTATCACATCACATTTTAAATGTTTGCTGTTTTCCCTCTGTTTCTAACTGGTCGGAGAACTTTGAGAATAAGAAACATAACATTCGTTTATATTTCCATTATCTTTCAGAGTATTGGTATATAGTAGTTGTTAAATAAATGTTAATTAAAATGAGTTTAACGACCAAAAAAAAAAAGAGAAATATTTGAAGAAACAATGGCTGAAAAAAAATAGTGAAAGAAATTTAAGCACAAATCAAATAAAGTCAGCCATACAAGGTAAGGAAAAAGCCTAGACACATCATATTCTGTCTAAAAGCCAAAAATAAAAATCTTGAAAGCAGCCCGATATAAAAAGATATACCATATATAGGAACTATGCAAGTCAGAAGACAATGAATGAACATCTTTAAAGCCTTGAAGGGAAAAATATTGTCAACAAAGATTTCTATATGTAGAGAAAATCTTTTGAGAATGAAGGAGAAATACATTTTCACACAAACTGAATGAATACATTCCAGCAGACCTATATAACAAGAAATGTTAATAAAAGTATTCAGAGCTTCTTAGAAATATAATTCCCACCATAAGAGAGGAAATGTAAAAATTGGGACTGTACTACTATAACACATAAGAAAAGAAAGCTGTTAAAGAGGGTCCTTAAGACTCTCCTTCTTCCCCTCTCCTCTCCTCTCTCCCCTTCAGAGAACTAGCCTTTCCCCTGAAACACCCAAGGCAGCAGATGACAGTAACCCAGACAAAGATAATATCTTGACCTGTTATGTTCCAGCTCCTAAGCCCTAAGGTGAAACAACACCCCGGCTACTTTCCTATGAAACCAGAGAGACACTGAAACAGACCTTAGAACTGCCCTCGAAATTGGAAGAAATGATTTATAACCATTACCTCACCTCTGACCAATCAGCTCTCAGCATAATCCCAAACCCCCTAACCCACAGTGTCTTGTGATTTTGCCCTATATAATCTATAATCTACATGCCATGGGGGAGTTTTGGGTTTTAAGCATTAGCTTCCTGTTCTCCTGGGTGGGGCTATTCATAAGAAAATAGTCAATGTCTCTCCACTGCAATTCTCAGTGTTTAGTGTTTGCCTCTGCTAATGCTGGGTAAACAAGCTTTTTGTTCAATAACATTAGGGTCATGTGAAAAACTAAGTGGCCAGTTTGAAAAGGTCTGTGGTAGACTAAGTAATGCCCCCCAAAAGATGTCTATGCCTGCGTTCCCAGAGCCTGTGAATATGCTGCTGTTTATGTTAAAAAGAACTTGCAGATGTACCTAAATTAAGGATCTTAGAATGTGGAGACTATCCTGGGTAATCTTACTGGTCCCAATGTAATCACAAGAATCCTTGTAAGACAGTGTGAGAGGACCAGAGGCAGAAGAGAGAGATGTAAAAATGGAAGAGGATCAGATTTAGGGAAAGGTTTCATCTGCTGCTGATCTTGAAGACGGGAGAAGAGGTGACAAGCAAAGGAGTGGAGGCTGGGTGAAGGCAAAGGGATCATGCATGCAGTGACTAGTGGAGAAAAGTCACAAACATTTTAACCAGGTACAGAAATGCAGATATAGCATCTTCATATATCTTTCTCCTTGAAGTGTCATGTGTGCATTTGTATTTTTTAATTAAATTTATTGTGGTGACATTGTTTAATAAAACCATATATGTTTCAAGTATATAACTGAATAATACATCATCTGTATATTGCATGGTTTGTTCACCACCCAAAGTCAAATCTCCTTCCATCACCGTATATTTGACCCCTTTACCTTTATTAACCTTCCCCACTCCCTTTTACCTCTGGTAACCACTAAACTGTTGTCTATGTCATGAGCTTTTGTCTCGTTTATCTGTTGCTTCAGTTTTCGATCCCACATGAGTGAAATCATATGGTTTTCAACTTTTTCACTGTAATTTATTCTGCTTAGCATGCTCAAGATCCATCCATGTTGTCGCAAATAGCAGTATTTCATCTGTTCTTTTGGCTGAATAATATTCCATTTTATGTGTGTACCACATCTTCTTTATCCAATCATCTACCAAAGGGCACATCAGTTGTTTCTATGTCTTGGCCGCCACAAAAAATATTGCAATGAACATCGGGATGCATATATAACTTTATCTTTATGGATAAAGTTTTCATATTTTCGGAGTAGATACCCACAAGAGGGATTGCTGAGTCACAAAGTAATTCTATTCTTCATTTTTTTGAAGAAATTTCATACTGTTTTCCATAATAGCTGTACCAACTGATAGTCCCACCATTAGTGTATGAGGGTTCCTTTATGCCACAACCTCTCCAACATTTGTTATCATTCGTCCTGTTGATAACAGACATTCTAACAGGTGTGATGTGGCATCTCATTATGGGTTTGATTTGCATTTCCCTAATAATTAGTGAAGTTGAGCATTTTTCATATATATGTTGGACATTTGTATGTATTCTTGGGAGAAGTGTCTGTTCAGGTCCTCCGCCCATTTTTTAATAGGATTATTTGTGTTTTTGTTTTTGTTGAGTCTGGTTTCTCTTCAGATCGTATCTTTGTATTTTTGACTAATTTTTTCTTCTTTCGTCCCTTTCCCCTACATTTAATATAGGGTGTGTTCATGATAGTAAGTTTTGTGGTTTACTCCACAACTTGCAGAAAATTCAGACAGAATTATGACATTCTAGAGGAGATACAGGGTCCATATAGGAATTCAAAACAGAGAAAATGAAGTGTTTCTCAGAATCCCTTAAAAAATGTGACTTGACTTTACATTTCTCCTTCCCCACTGCCACTACTCTAGTTCAGATTCCAATGTCTCATTAGCAGTTGCGGAGCAGCCCCCTAACTGGTCTCCTTGGTTCCTATCTTTCTTCTGACTCATGTGCCAGAGTAATAATTTTTAAGCAAAAGCACACCTAACTTTGTCAGGTGTGCTTTTGCTTAAAAATCTTTACTGGCTCCTGTTACTATCGAAGGTGAAAGATATTTTGACATCAATGATTTGACCCTTCTTTAGCTGCCAGCTTCATCCCCACTACTTCCTCAATCTTCTCTGCCCTGCAAGTGCACCTCAGGACATTTTTGAATCCTCACACTCTCCCCCTGCTCTGCACCATCCACAGGTCACCCCTGTGCCCTGGTTGCTTGTTATCTGGATCATTTGTTCTCACTTTCCTGGTCTCCACCTAAACTTTTCATGGTCTTTGCATACAGGAAGACCTCTGCGATCACCCCTGGAGGCTTAGTCTCTGTGACACAATGCTGCATTTTAATTGTTCACTGTCATCCTGCTATACAGTCACATCCTTCTCAGAACTGTAGCATATTGACTGCTGTGTCTCAAGAATCATTCGTTCTTACAGACACATAGACTCTCCTGTAATGTTTCCTGAAATAACACCAAGAAAAATATAGCTCCCTAGCACTGACTTCTTTAGGATGCTTCTCTATATTGCAAAATTTAGGATTGAATTTTTTTTAAGGTAAAATTAAAATATCAAATGGGCTCTGGACTATATGAGCCTTCAACTCTGCTTGAATGCTGAGTCTGTGTTGTATTCACAAATGAAAGAACTGCACATCGACTGACTTAAAGAAGAGACAACAGGAAGAAAGGGCTTTGAGACTTCTTCAAGGGAGACAGAAGATGAGCTACTGTCACATTCTTTCTCCTCTTTCCCCTTCCTTATCCCTTATACAATTATTCCTTCCCCCTCTTTAACCTTATTTAACTTGTGCTTTTTCTCAGAGGTGCAGTCTACTCTCAGATTACTCCAGCTTGGTTGATTTACAAAGAGCAAGCAGGTCCTGTGGTGTGTGCAGATGGGAGAAGGGTTCAGTATGGACACTAGAGGTGACATCTGCACAGTGGTCTGAACTATCCGGAGTCCCAAAATCTATGTTAAAGTTGTCTTCTCTCTGATTGCATTTGGTCGAGGAATCTTCCCATTCTTAGATAACTATGTCTTTTAGATTTTACATATTATTTCATATTTTATGTGCTTATTTTGTTTCCATACTCTAGAAAAAAAAAGTTAATAGATTTTTCAGAAATTGGACAGCTTTAATATTTAAATGATACCCCTTATATATGCAGGAAAATTCCTCTCAAACTGTTCATATACTCAACACGGTGCTTGAAACATAATTTCCCCTGGCCAGTTATAGCCGCATGTACGAACAACCTTTAATTAAGAGTCTCATCAGTGTGAAACAAGACATTTAGTTGATGCTTCTCCACTGAATTACCCCTCCAGCACTCAAGACAAGTACATTATGTCCACATGAAGGTCCTGCACAAAAGCATTTTAATCAGCTTGATAGCAACACTCCTCAGAACAGTGACCCACACAATGCTGGATGTGGTTATATGTATTTTTTTAAGTGAGTCTAAATGTGAAAATGTTTTGTTCCCAATGTAAACACAATAACCTTGTACAAAATTTAGATGAATAAGAATCAGTAATCCAAAGATCCATGAATAGGTCTATGATTACAATGTGGCAAATAAAAACAGTAACTGTGTGGGATTTTTTTTTTTTAATTATTAATCTCAGAGCATAGAAACGGAGATTAAGTCTGGGAAATTGTTATAGCAGTGCTTCACTCCTTCAAACGTGCTCCTGTGACATAAAAGTACCCCTACATCCACCCCAACCCAACCACTCAGCCTCCTACCTGACATCACCAGTACACATTTTGTCATCTCCTTTCTGGTTGCCAGGGCAATGTAGTTGATGACTGTCGTATCTGAGTTGGACACACAAAGCTTTTTTCTCTAAATGATGCTCATGATTTATCAAGTTGCCAGTTTTGACGTTAATCCAGATAATTTCCCTAACAGTTTCTGCCAGGCCCCCTTCACCTCCTTATTCCTTAGACTGTAAATCATAGGGTTCAGCATGGGTGTCAAAATGGCATAAGAGAGAGAGATCAGCTTCTCCTGAAGGACAGAGGAGCGGAGTGGGCTGGATGTAAGTGAAAATGGCCATGCCATAGCACAGGACAACCACTGTGAGGTGAGAGGCACAGGTATGGAAGGCTTTCTTTCTTCCTTCTGTGGACTCAGTCTTTACAATGGTGCTGATGATCTTGATATACGACAAGAGAACCAAACAGAAAAGTGTCATCAGCAAGACAATGCTAGAAACCGTAATTGCAATCTCATTGGAAGAGGTGTCCACACAGGCTAGTCTGACCACAGCTAGGATTTCACATGATATGTGATCAATAAATTTGTTTGTGCACATGGGCAGCTGAAAAGTGATGGTAATCTGCGTGAGAGAGCAGATAGAGCCACTGACCCAGGATGTGATGGCCAACCTAGCACAGAGCCCTCCATGCATGATGACCGAGTATCGCAGGGGCTCACACACAGCCACATAGCGGTCATAAGCCATCACTACCAGTAGAATAAACTCAATCCCACCTAAAGCCAAGGAGAAAAATAACTGGGATGCACAGCTCACGTATGGGATTACTTTATGTTCTGCAAGAAGGTGCACCAGCATCTGAGGGACGATGCTTGTGGCATAAGAGACATCAACGACGGAGAGGTTGGTGAGAAAGAAATACATGGGAGTGTGGAGCCGGCTGTCCAGTCTGATCAGAAGAACAATGAGGAAGTTTCCCAGCACTGTCACCAGGTATGTGATGGAGAATAAAACAAAGAGAGGGACCTGAGTGTCCCAGTCACTGGACAGGCTGAGAATAAACTCTCTCATCCACATCTGGTTATCTAAAAAAATGTAAAGATTATTAATCTGCAGAGAGAGTCAGAAATAACAGAATCTGTTGAATTACAGAACCAAAAGAATAACTTCTTAAAAGAATGTATATCATATACACCACAAACGTTTCAGATAATTTATGGGCCAAGATGACAGGCTTGAACCTAATATGCATTATATCTAACTCTATATGAGAGAGCCTAGGCCCTTCACGAAGACATGATGTGGTCTCAGGGAGTCAGTTAAATCCTGTAGATAATGCAGTGCAATTTTTGGAAGCTCTTTATCTTTTCAATTTAACTCAGTTTTCAGAGCAGAAAATGATGGTAAGAGACAATGAGAGGTAAAGTAATAAACAAGGAAGAAAAAATTGTTTCAAGTTCAAGAACTACACATATGTACTACACCGAATT